GCCTGAGTTAATGTGAGAGAGGAATAAAACCCCTCCTGGGTGCTCATCTGAACCCACACCAGCCCTTCCCTGGAGCAGTGGTGGCTCACCCTCCCTCTCCCAGGGTGGGATCCACTCGTGTCCTTGTTCCTTCCAGGAGAAGAACAAAGTGATAAGGGAAAATATCCTCCTCTTCTGTTGTGCTGTAGTTGTGTGCTGTGTTCAGTTGAGTGTCTCTCCATCTCCTATGCTGTCCCTGTGCCATGGTACTGTTATAACCGGTGGAATAAATACCAGGAGATGTCTATGCATTTCTTTCTCTCCTTGAGCAGTGCTTTCCTGGTAAAGGTGTTGGGGTGCCCCAAGGTACAAGGGGTGTAGGGAGGTCAAGCACATCCCCTTTACAGGGCAGGGGGGAGCAGTGATGGGAGCTCAAGGGAGAAATCTCTTGCAGCATCATCCAGAAGAAAGCATCATACCTGGTTGTGGTTGGGTGTTCTGCCATGTTTTCTACCGAAGGGGTGCTACGAGCAGCTCTTTGTCAGCAGCCGGGTTTAAAAGCAAGCAAACCCCCCAGATTTCACAGATTTTTTTTTACTATTTTAGTAAAAAGCCTTCAGATCACTCACCAGCTCTCCTCCTCAGTCTCATGGGCACTGCAGGATGTCCACTGCACTGCTCCGAGCAAGGACACATCTCTGCAGGGACAAGACTGTGATAAGTACAGGTGTGACTTCAAGCCAGAGCAGCTCCGGCCTGCCAGCATCCCGGTGGGTGGTGGGCTCCTGGAGTGAGGCTTCCTGCAAAGAGCTGGCACAGGCTGGGAATTTACTGCTCCGAATCCCAATGGAGCAGATAACTGCAATTTGCTTTTGCAGGGGGGGTGGGTGATCCAGGAAAACACGGGGGGGGGGTGTGTGTGCTGGGAAGATGGTTATTATTAGTAGTATTAGTATTAGTATCGCAGCAAGGATGCTGGATCAGGCTGTGCCTGGAGCTGCTGAGCTGAGAAAAGCTCCCTGGTATGGCCAGCAGATTGCTTTCTGCCCCCAGCCCCCTGGTAATATCGTGCTGGGGGCAGGGAGTCATGAGAAACTCCTGATACCCTCCAAAGTCAGAGGTTGTCTCACCTCTGAGAAGAAATCAGCCACCGCTTTAGCTGGCAGGACAGACAGACAGAGGCAGCTCAGCCTCCTGGCCCGCAGCTCAGGCTTGGTGCTCTGCCCATGGAGACCCACATCGCAGCCTTCCAGCCCCAGGGACCAGGCTGCTCTCCAGCCCCGCAGGGACCCACCAGCGGCTCACGG